GAGCCGAGGTTGCCCTGCTCTTTCTTGTCCTTGAGTTGGACACCTGGGGAGTCTGTACTCCGTAGGTCGGATAAATATACGTACCTATCTGCCCTCTGGAACCCCCCTACCATCACAAATGCGCTGGCATGAGATGGGAAAGTGCCGTTATCACACAGCGCTCAGTGCATTGAACCAATAAGATTATGTTGCATACCTCGATGTGGTTGATCCCTGCCCGCTGGACTTTCCTTCTTTTGGTTACCAAGGTAGACAGGGGACAAATTCTAGGAGGGGGTTTTTTTTTTTTTTAAAGCCTTTCTTTTTTTTGCCGGGCAGACTTCTCTGTTCAATCTCGAGAGAAAAACTGAAGCTCTTCGTTTGTTGCGTAGGTAGGTAGGTATCCTGGATAAAACGTGGGAGATTGCTGGCAGTGCCCGTAAACGCAAGGGCCTTCTCAGCCAACAGTTGGGATTTGCTTTCCATCGACACGCTCAAATCCGCATTAAACTTGTTACTTTTGCTTCCTTTTTATCCTCTCATCTCGTACCTGCCTGCTGATGGCCGAGATGGCCACAACAACATTATGGGACAGCGAGACCGTCGGCTCTAGAGTGCAAGAGACCGGCCGCGTCTCTACAGAAAAGGGCTAGGGTATCAAAAAACACAAAGCCTTGCCCAAGGCCAAACTCCTGTGCAGGCAGCACGAGCCATCCACTATTACAGAGGAATTTACCACAACATGTGCTTTATATCTTCTTCGGCACGAACGGCCTTCCTCGCCTGCTCTTTTGACCACTTTGCACGTCGTCTGCGGCTCCTAGATCCTCTCAAATCCAGCATCCTTAAGCTCGCGTCCTGTAGGGAGCATCGGACGCCCCTGCATTGGGAAAGGCCAGAACAGAGGGTTCTCCAGGACCTTGGCTGCCCGCGAGACTGATGGCTTTCCGGGTTCGGTTCCCTTGGTGCCCGTTGTCGTTGCCGGGTTCGGCGCCTCGGTCTCGTCGGTGCTGCCGCCCCAAGCGCAGATGAAGTCGTCCTCGATGACATTTGGAGCGAAAAAATTGAGACTACTTGTATATGGTCTGACCAGGTGCGCGTATTCAGCATCTGATGGGAGCCTTTCGCCCATATCAACGTCCAAGTTCCACTTCTTGGCTAGATATCGAAGAATATTGAGTGCCTGTTCTGCAAAATGATGGCACGGTGCCATCTCCTCTAGGTCCCGGATGCCTTGCTCGATTGCCTCCACGACACGAGGTGGATATGACGGTTGAGCCTCAGGGTTGATGCTGGCTGGCGCTGTTGTATCGAACCCCTTTTGCGGCGGCGCACAGGCCGCACCAATGGCTAGATGCATGATGGACGATGTAAGGACGAAATACGGAACAAACGACGGCGTCCGGCGGAGCGTGTAAAGCTGAGAGTATGACCGCAGGAGTCCTTGGATGGCGTCTGCCGCCTGTCCACACACATCCCGGGGCAGCAGCTTGGAACCAATAATTCTCAGCTTAATGAGCGGCCGGAAGAGAAGGAGGATGGCAAAGTGGTAGTACATGCTAACGCATTTCCCGTCAGTAATGGTTCCGTTGCATCTCTGGCGATGAACTCACTGGGCAAAGAGCACAGCAGGTGTAAAGTTGTGCCCTAGTCTCAATACCTCTGGTATTCTGTCATACCAGTTGAGATATTGGGTGTATATGCCAAGTAGGTCACGGCTGGTCAACGGTCTTCCTGGAGAGTGGAGGACGTAGAGACTTTGGTGCACAAGCTCACTCAGTTCACAGAAGCACTTATATACAGACCGGACGTTGGACGGCTGTTCAGCTGAACGCTGTAACGGGACGCCTAACGAGTCTGTTGAGTCTTGTGTGTCCGGCATGCTTCGTGTGTTTTCCAAGTTGAGGAAAAACTTACCGTCGTCCGTGTACGGGATCCACAAAGACGCCTCGATGTCATCGATGATAGCGGGCTTTGGCGGCAGGTGAGGGAAACAGGAGCACTGGGGGAGTGAGCCGGTTGCCAAAGACCACGCACTAAAGAAACAATAAGCTTTGCTAGCTCGAGGGCCAATCTCTGAAGTCTGCTGCATGACGGCACTTACTGATCAAGTGCAAAGGCGCCCCAGAAAGTGGCAGCCTGCACTGCAAACTCGTCATCGTCGCCATCCTCTTCTAACTGGTGGAGGCCCATCTCGATAGCCAAACGAATGCTCTGCCCTGCATAGTACCAACTCTCAGAATCTCGACCGCAACTTGCTTCTCTTATCGACATGATCCCCAAAGCTTGGATGGTTGTCAGATTATGATGGTTTTCTTCGAGGTAAAACAGGCGCTGGGCTTCTTTGAAAAAGTGGTCGCCCGAGGTGTACGGGTCGCTGGGGTTCGCTCTCGTACTGGATTTGCTGGAAAAGCGGCAGCCCAAAGCTAAGAGAGCATTGACAAGTATAGGTGAACAATAACGGTGAACACCGTTCTGGAAATCCCGAAGAAAGTGTTCCTTGCTCAGTGATGCAAACGTCGGATACTCCCAGCAGAAATATAAGGCAAGGAGGTGCTGCACAAGAGAGCCGTCATCGGTGATGTTTGTCCAGTCTTCGGGAGGGAGTTTCATGTAGGGCAGCTCCAGCGGCGCGAGGACCTGGTCGAGGCCCTGATACTTGGAACCGCCTTCTGAAGTCTCTGTGTTACTTGTTGACTCTCCCCACGTGTCGAACAGACCTTGTGGCGGCTTATTGATATCAGTGCTCCAATTCATCACATCGGGATGCGAATTGCTCCTGGTGCTTTGGCTGTGCGATGAAAGGTGCCACGGACTGTTGGAATCAATATCCTGACGCAAGTTAGATTGCCCCGTGATAGGACTCATGGTCACAGACCCAGGCCCTCCGAGGTTTCTCGTTCTGATTGGCGCTGGTGTCGATCCTGGGAATCCTGGGCGGGCACCTGAGCCGGTGTTTGCATCGCCAGCTTGCTCGGGAGGGCGGTTGAGAGATGTTCTGGACCCACCGCCCGAGGGAAGCGTGCCGCCTAGCCATTCCGAGACCGATTCTAGGGATTGGCCGCTTCGCAACCGTTGCAATACATCCTCCCACATATCGGAGCGCACCAAGGCAGCGATTACCTGGTCGCTGGATCGCTGACGGTGGCGTAGTTGCTCGATTTCGCTTCGTAGGTGCTCCTTTGATTGACGAACTGGTACCTCGTAAACGCACTCTACGTCCTTCTGGGCCTTGCAGCGGCCGCATGGCTTCTGGCCATCGCACTAAAGGCGAGAGTATCAGTATGTGATTTCCAAGAGACGACACGTTTCTAGCAAGGCCCAGCATACCTTTGCGCGCTTCTTGCGACACTCGGTGCAAGCATTGGGAGTGACGACGCCCAAACCCCTCCTTCTCTTGGATAACTGCCCGGCGCCAGAGCTGCCAGACGCAGATGGCGTAGGAGCGGCACTGGCCGACGGTGCAGGCGCAGGGGCAGATGTGGCAGATGCCCCCGCGGAGGAGGCAGAGCCGGCGCTGGGCTGAGCCTGCTGTTCGTTGCCGGGTGCCTCCTCCATATCGGCGGTGCTTGCGCGCTTCAGGTTGACTGATCGTAGCCTCGATCAGAGTCTACCAAGCAAACTCGACTTTCAAAGTTTTGTTTGCGAATTGACATAATGAGGCCGTTTAAAGGCGGGCACTAGTAGGCATCGATCTGGGACGTGAATATCAAGCTCCGGTCCGAGGAAGGTGTTTTGACAGCACCGCGCAGCAGTCTTGGGCGGTTAGATGATTGGCAATAGGTCCAGGGTCGACTGGAAGGTACGCGCAAGGAAGAAAGGTCAAAGATTCAGAGTTGAGAAGGGAGAAGGCAAGATACCTAGGTAAGCTTGGGTCGCAAAACAGGAGATTTGGTCGCGGCTCTTCGTCGCCGATGTTCCAGTGTTCTCGCCGCCGCAGCGAGGGAGCGAGGGCGAAAGAGACAAGAGGTAGCAGATTGAGCAGTTACTGCCCCTCTTTGACCCCCCTTATTGCCTTGCCTATTGAAGCATGCGCCGAGTGTATAAACCCTGCAAACCAATATTTGCATGACCTGGGGTGAGGGTTTGTGAGGTGCGCAGGCTCTGTGTAAGGAGAGCCGCGTGGCAGACTGCGATATGTGACTCCAAAGCGAGGACTGGTGCAGAAACGCGGGTTAAAGAGAGGGGGGGAAAATGATAAGGCAACTGAGGACGGGCGGAAAAGGGAACTCGTGATGAAGGGAAAGTAGTGGGAATGGTGGGAAGGGAAGGGATGATGGTACAGCGGCCGGGCCTCAGTACTCAAGTATAGGTACGTGTACACAGACAGGAGATGGAGCACAGACGCACAAAAGACAAGGTGCGATACAGACGCAGTGAACAGTAACGGCAGGTGAGCAGGGCAGCTCCTTCCCCAGATTCGAGAGCTTCGAGCTGCGCCAGGCTTAGCTCTGTGATGGAGGTAGAGGTGAAACTTGTTTTTTTTTCTTCTTCTTGCGCAAGGTACCTACCTACGGTACCTAGGTAGGCGGGTAGGTACCAAAGCAGGATAGCACAATACTTAGGTACTTGGGCGAGGCGTGCCAAACGTCCGGTAAGGCCTCACCGTCGCGTTGCTCATTTGTGTCTTCTTATGTTCTCTTGGAGTTTCTTGTTGTACACATCATCGGAGATCGCATGATTGAATTGTGAAGGCAAAGATGCGTTTTGCATATGGTATATGGGAGCTGAAGGAATGGGAAGGGATGGGGAGGGATGGAGTGTGGGAATGGGTAATGAGCTGAAGCTTTCGTGCCGGCGCTTGGTCGCTCGCTCGCTCTACCCATCCCACCGTCTCGGTTGATACTCATGGATGTCAGGAGTGGTCGTTTCTGATGAAGCAGCTACCAGTTGGGCGGACGTCAGCCATCACTACGAAGGCGAAAGGCTCATCAATTCCAGTAGCACACATTTCCACACCCTGCAAGTAACCAACTTAACTGACGGGACATAATAGGCCGAAGCATGACCGAAACAATTGCCCGAATACTCGATGTAAATTATCGCCTGCTCTCTGGGATGTGCCCATCGTGCCCAACTAATCGCTAGGAAAGGGGACATTTCTGCACGCAAGACATGATGCCACCTTATTGCGCACTACTACGTACATAGGTAGATACATACATACATACATGCAGGTATGTCTATACGTTCTACTATTGGGTTTCCTCTATCCACGCGGAAGAGGCCAGTGAGTCCTCAGTTCTTCTTCACCAAGTTCAGCATCCGTACCCCAACCCCAGTATCGCGAAGTAACGCCAACAACTAACCCATCATGCCACGCTCTGCTTCATTGCAACTAGGCTGCCTGAGCCTGACTGTTAAGCCTTGGTTTGTGAGAGGGTGTGCATTGTTCACACAAACCACATTACCAGATTCTTTCATCGTGCTAGCATCGGAGTCCAGGGTACCTGACAAGACACCAAGACGACCAAAGCACGGAGAGGCTATCGCATTACGATGGAGGCTTCTGTCCGCCATACCCGCTCGCCCGACCTTCCTGCTGGAAGTTTTCCTCCGCGAGCCCCTCTCTCAAAGTTTTGTAAGCAGCATTTCGCTACAGCACCGCTGCACCGGGCATAATGCGGGTTATGAAACCCTGGCCGATGACCCTCACTTTGCAGGGAGTTCCTTGCTCATCAACCCACTAAGGCAGAGGTACCTGAGGAGTCACTGATACGATGAGCCGTTCTGGGATGTCATTGCGATTTTCCCGAGGGTGCGACGAGAGAGGAATTAGGTTTGACGCCCCGCCCTCCAGGACACATAAGCTAAGGCTTCTATCTCACTCCCGCGAGCTGGTTGGAAACAATTACCTAGAGACCAGCTGGTTTGCAAAGTTTTGCTCCGGCTGGAGCGAAGGGGGGTTGCTTCGATATGTCTGTGCCTCAGGAACCCCACAGTGTGCATTCCCACGGGTTGAACCAAGTGAGCAACTTTAGAACGCGCCCGCCCAGGGGCGCAATGAGCTAAAGAACACCCTTGCAGTCTCGCAGCGTCGTCCTAAAGCATGCATTTGCTACATACATAATAGTCCCCTACTGCGCTTGATTCCCGTTTGCGTGGTGGCTGCATGCTTTTCCCCTTAAGAAGACATTCCTGCGGCAGTGACTTGCTGGTTAGATGCAGGGCAGCATTTAGGGTCCAAGTCCTGACTGATCCTCGGGGTAGCGTACCGGCTCAACAAAGATGGCTAATGGAGAGTAGCGTTATGGCGATGGCGGCGGCGGAACCTACTCCGTCCGTGCTGGCCGGTAGGCAACCGTGTCTCGTCAATGAAGTCGACAGGAGGCATCGAGAGGCTTCCGGGACTTTCAGCTGTCAGCCTTGAACTCACACCAACTTTTTTATTCTATTTGTTCATTATTATCTTATAACGGATCGCGCTGATCGACCTTCCATTGCTAGAGCCGTGGATTATCTGTTGTGTTGCGCGATTCAGGAACATCTCGTGCAGCTATAAGAGGCGGGGGTTGCAGTTGACAAACCCAAACTCTCCTCCAGCTTGACGTCATGGCCAATCAATCAATCCGAAAACAAACATGGTGAGGACCGGGTATGACTAAGCTCATCATGGTCCGAGCTCTGATCGGAGGGCCCATCGGAAAGCGAATTGCATTGTGACGGGCCAACAGCACGTCATGTGAGATTGGAGAAAAGCATGAGATGGAGCCTGAGCATTCGACAAATGAATATTTAGTGAGGGGGTTTAGCTCTCGACAGGTACGAGAGGTATGCACTTCCGCCCGCTAGGCCCAGTAGCTAGTTGTCGATACATTGCTTCCTATCCTGTCCATAAAGATGAGAAGAAGAAAAGAAAAAAACCCGGCGAAAGCCGGCCCCAACTCGCCTCAAGCCATCAGATGACGCCGCATCTGCCCCAGACCTGGTCCCTGAACACGTGTATTATACAACCAAACCCCATAACTCCTATCCTATGCATTGTATTGCTTTCTGATTTTCGGTTCCTGCCTTCAAGTGTCGATGAATATCGGGAAGTCTCCGCTCACTCTCAGTAACCCTTGGTGGGGCTCAGCCCTGCATACTTGGTCGGACTGCGCAATCGATCCCGGTCACCCTTGCTTGGACTCCGACGTCCAGAAGGAGTCCGAGGCGGCATAATCGACTTCATCTTTGGCGGCGATGCGTCGGTGTCGGTATCATCGTTGTCATACTGGATGTGGCGGCGATGTGAAGGTGTTTGGATAGGAACCCACATGTACGCCTGTGAAGGCTCAGGGATCACCGATAGCTCCGGAGCAGCTCCAGACGTCGAGCGGTGCGCTGGCACTGGGTGGCTGGAGCCAGCATTGTTTGCCATACGACCCAACGTAAGGTTATTGGCGACGATACACAGGAAAAGGATGCCGAAGAAGAATACCTTTGCGGTAACGTCAGAAGGCGAGACAGCGGACGACAGGAGAGAGGTCAATGCTTACCCAGGCCTTGACCTGCATGGCGCCGGCGAATTCGTTCAGGATTTCCGCGATTTGCTTAACAGTGACTCGAACCCTCATGATGGCAGAAGGATCTTGAATCATGCACTCGTACCATTCGTCGCACATTGCCTTCAACGCAGGCCGATCCTTCTTGGCGCATTCGTTGAGCTGGTATTCGGTCCGGCATTCGGACATCCTATTCTCGATTTCCAGACGAGCTGCGTCGTTGGCGGTTCGAATATCCGACCGAACAGTATCCAGAATAGACCAGCAGAAGAAGACAAATGCCGACACAATTATGCAGTTGACCAAAAGCTGGATCCAGCGATAGAGGTTCTCGGGGGCATTCGGGTGTTCCTCCAGAGCGTGGAACAGGTTGCTGATCCAGCCACGACCGTTCTTCATATTCTTCTTGCTGCCCTTGCCGCCGCGAGCCGCTGAGCGGGATCCGTCACCATCCGAGTCGTCATCCGAGTCATCCCAGTCCTGTGCGCCATGATAGCGTACGCTTCCTACATCCTTGTCGAGGTTGTGTCGCTTCCGCTTCCTTATAGCGGGGTATTCTCGTGCACTCCTGGGGATCTCGCCCTTCCCTGGCGCGTGGCGCTTCGATGACTGGCTTGCCTTGCCATAGCGGAAGCTTTTGTCGACCTTGGAAGGTGTCATGGTGGCCATGCTCGTGTCTCCGTATCTGTCAACGTCGGGGGTATCGTCTGGAAGCTCCGAATTTTCTGTCAAGGCGGGGCTTGATTCTGCACCTGAAGCCTCTGAATAGGCACTCTCGTCGAAGGGTTTGCGCGGGGTGGTGAAGGCCGGGTTTCGGAACGGCGGCGCCATGTTATTTTTCTGTACTCTGGGGGAGAAGAGCGATGCCTGCGGCAGAGATGGAAGTGTCCTGGAGGGGGTACCCGCGAAGAGGTTCGGCTTGGAGGGGCTCAAGAAAGGGTTCAGCTTGGAGCTTGCGAATTTGTTCGGTGAGCTGAAGCCTGCAGAAGGAGTAAAAATAGGGCAGTGTCAGATACAAAGTGCACTTAAATGGCGAAGCAATCACAGAGAATAAGGTGCTTCTTGCGACCAAGCTGCGACTCACTGTTCTGGGTGTTGGTCTTTGCAACCTGTGCAAATGGGCTGGTCGCATCCAGAGGTCCGTGATCCTGGTATTCCCATTCCATAGGGCTTTCATATGTTCTGCGATCCATCGTGAGGCTTCTTGTTAGCAAGAAATGGCGTGTGAGTGCACAAAGCAAGGTGGGCGAGGTGCGCAACAGCTCTTGTCGCAATCCGTCCGGGGTGGTGGCAGCCAAGGGTCAGAATACTCTAGTAGCTGTCAAGAAGTAAAACGCACACTCACAAAAACCAAAGTAAACAAACCGTGCCTGAGGCAACGGAACCTCCCGTTGGTATGTGTATGATATCTTATCTTTATCGATAGGCAACACAGTGCAGCCACAGGCACCACTCTTGGCTTCCAGCCAGACGGTGACCCACACCTGAGGCTGGCTGCTCCTTCCCAAGTGAGTCCCTTTACCTAAAGCTTGGACCATCTGGGAAAATCGAAGGAACGACGACAAGGCAGAGCGACCTGCACACATCACAGCCTTTCTAATCTCCACACCAATCAATCATTGCAAAAGCCGAGCCTTGCATCTCACAGCGCGACTCCTCGGCTCCTTTCGCAATCATGTCGGACATCGAATCTCTCCCCGAATCCCCTCTGCCCGATCGCGACGATCATGCCGATAATCAAGAACCTCGCGAAGGCGCTGGGGGCGCGACTGCCACCGAGCTTTCCGATGACGACCAGCTGTCGGAAATGGACGAGGACCAATTCGAGGACTACGACCCAGAGACAGCCAACATCGAAGACCGACCAGTAGCTGTTGACGAAGATGTGGCCAAGACTCTTAAGGCGTCTAAGCGGAAGGTGGCAGATGGCGCGAAAGCGAAGAAACCGAAGGAGGGACGCAGAGAGAAGAAACGAACACGCGATGATGAGGTTTCTGGCGAGGCGGATGGTGATGCCGGGCGACCTGCTCGCAAGTCGAGACGCCAGGTTGATGGCGAGAGGAAGCCCCGGCCCAAGGCTGCTGAGCCCGAGGTTGACGACGAGTCCCATCTTACGCCAGAGGAGCGTAGGCGGCGCGCGATCGACCGGGCGCTAGATGCTGCCATGAAGGGGCCTGCGAAGCGGAAGAAGAAGAAGGACGAAATTGTAGGTTGGCTCTGCGATGTGTGGGCTTTAGGCCTAGCTAGTTACTGACATTCCCGAAATAGGATCTGGAGGACGAGATCGATGAGCAGATCGCAGACCTGAAGGTCGCAATGGAAAAGGCTTGTGAGGCAGACAACAGCGCACGCGAGGCCGGTCAACCAGCCGTTCACAAGTTAAAGCTCCTTCCTTCGGTGACTGGTCTGCTGAACCGGAATAACATCCAGCACGCCATTCTCGACCCCGACACCAACTTCCTGCAGCACGTCAAGTTCTTCCTCGAACCCCTGAATGACGGCAGTTTGCCGGCATACAACATCCAACGCGACATTTTCAGTGCGCTCATCCGGCTCCCCATCGAGAAGGAGGCGCTCCTCAGCAGTGGCATCGGCAAAGTTGTTTACTTCTACACCCGCTCGAAGAGGCCCGAACCTAGCATCAAGCGCATGGCCGAGCGCCTCCTTGGCGATTGGAGCCGACCTATCCTCAAACGGACAGACGACTACAAGAAGCGCCATGTTGAGACGCGCGAAATCGACTATGAGTACGTCCTACGTCCATCCCCTCACACTGACCTCTTGGCCAGTTTATCCCGTTGCTAACTCTTTCATGTCAACAGGGCTCTGAAGATGTCGCAGCGCCAGGCTGGCAGCTCCCAGTTTACCCTTACCCAGCGGCCTTCCCAGTCTGCTAGGGAGCTGGAGCGTGAGGCCATGCTGGCGCCTGTCGTCACCTCGAACCGTGCTCGTCCTGGTGGTCTTCCTGACAGCTACACGATTGCGCCCAAGAGTACGTACGACGTTTCGCGGGCCCCGGAGCACCGCCCCATCGGTGCCGGTGGCCTGGAGGCATTCCGCAAGATGACGCAGAACCGCAAGAAGCGGTAAGTGAGTTGTCACACGGAGGGATTTCGCCCTCCCATAGCTCTGCAACAGGAGACGGCTGCGTGGGGGGCCTGGCTCACCTGTTCCTCATCCGGCCAAACGAGCTTTACGAAGGAAGCGGCTCGGCACTTGTATTATTCGAGCACAAAAAGAAAGGCGTTCCGGGTCGTCGTAGACTAAGGTGGCAAATGGATTCAATGG